AAGTAGCTGGGACTACAGGTGCCCACCCCGACACCTGGCCAATTTTTCTGGTGTTTTTTTTTTGTTGTTTTTTTGTTTTGTTTTTTTTTTGAGACGGAGTTTTGCTCTCGTTGCCCAGGCTGGAGTGCAATGGCGCGATCTCGGCTCACCGCAACCTCCGCCTCCTGGGTTCAAGCAATTCTCCTGCCTAAGCCTCCTGAGTAGCTGGGGTTACAGGCACGGGCCACCATGCCCAGCTGATTTTTTGTATTTTTAGTAGAGACAGGGTTTCACTATGTTGGCCAGGCTTGTCTTGAACTGCTGACCTTGTGATCCACACCCCTCGGCCTCCCAAACTGCTGGGATTACAGGCATGAGCCACCACGCCCGGCCAAAAGAGCTAATTTTTAAGGCAGCAAAATGTTAACTGAACTTTCTACATACTCCTAACCCTCACCCTACCTCCACTCTCAGACACCATATTCCTACATGCAGGGAGTTTGAACTCCCTGAAAACACCCAGACATTAAAAACATGACTCATTACTCTAAAACAATTATGTTTCCATAAAAAAAAAAAAAAAGAGAAAACTTTTGCTAGTGAATGAGACGGGAAGTGCCCTGGTTACTGTGCAAGGGAAAGGCTGCATTCTTTGCATAACCTGTTACCTTGAAGTATTAGAGAAATACACACTGAGATAGGAAACAATCAATTATGTACAGCACAGCTGCCCTAGATAAGCACCTGACAGACAGAACTGAGCTATGTACATCAACTTACTTTCATGCTATAAATATGAGGAAAGGCTTTGACTGACACCTAGATCCAAGAAGCACACTCAGTGGTAGAAATTAAAAGAAAAACAACAACATGCAATCTATTTTTTTAACTTCAAAAAAAAAAGTTATCCTAAAGATGGAAAAGAAGAACAATCTTCTGAAAACAATTTGCTACAGAAACCCAGAAGACTTTTGACAATAAGATACAGGACCTGAAAGTCACAAGGTCAGAATATACTGAGATGAAGTGGAAAACAAATGACATTAAAGAAAAAATAAATGAAAAAACTAAAATGAAAATGGACATATAAGATAAGAAAGCTAACAAGGCAATAAGGGTTTACTGTACACCAGAGTAGAAATTACATTGGAGAAGAATGCAATTGTAATTTAAAATACAAAGTTGAAAAGTTATTTCACAAGTTAAAGGACAGAAATAAATAGTTGGAAACAATACAGGCACACTAGATATAGAGGAGGAAGAATAAAACTCCAAACTAAGAGCTATAGATAGACTCAAAGAGGAAATCAAAACAGTGGCACAGGTGCAATAAATCAAGGAAAATTCTCTTCAGCTGAAATGTATACATATCTAAAGATCTCATCATGCTCCAAATAAAGTTAATAAACAGACACATCCTGGTAAATTTTTAAGTTATAATAAAGAAAACATCCAACAAGCATTTAGGCCACGGCACTAGTTAACTACAAATAAATATGCTATGATATATACAAATAAATAAACTGTTAGGTAATAAAGAAGTTGCTACAGCATGTTAAGAGAGGAAAAACCATTTTCTACTACTCAACCAAGTTGTCACTCATGTGTGAAGAAAATAGAAAGATAGTCTCAGAAATGCCAGGTCTCATAAAATGTAACATTCAGGGATCTAAAATTACTTAAAGGCACAGTCCAGCCTGAAAAAAGGTGGATAAAAATTAAAAGCACAAGAATGTAAACGGGATTAAAAGAACTAGTACACCATCTAATAAACTTCCCATCTATAAAGGGAAATTAGTTCTTCCATGAAGCTCCTGGTATGACAAACTCCCAGAAGACAGAAGACAGACCCTTTAGTCCCAAACATAGATTTCATCTCAGACCTTCATCGATATAATGCTCTCCTGGTAATAATGGTCCATGGCCCCTTATCCACAATATCGAAATCCGAGAAATTTTGAGAACGGAGAACTCTGTGATCAGATAACTGACAAGAGGCTATTTATAGTTTTCTAAATCTCCTGAATGTTAATATTCATCATTTTGTTGCATAAATATTAGCAAATTGGATTGCAGCTTACATACTCTTCTGTGGCTATCATATAACATGCAATATATTTTCCTTTCTAAAATTTAAAAAAAAAAAAAAAAAAACGTCATGCTGGAGCACATTCAAGGGTTCCAAATAAGAGATCATGGAACTCCAGTAGATAAACTCACTCAAATGGCTCACTTTCTTATAGCAACCCTAGACAGTTTATGCATCAATTATGTACACCACATCTCACACCACTTCAGACACTCAAAACAATTGATTTCTTTTACGGTGTGCAAGGGACTCTCAATTTAAGAAGACATTCAAGGAGGGGAACTCATACCTGACTCTTTCCTGAATACCTATACTATCTGCCATGCTGAAAGCTGGAGAAACACGTCTTGGACTCCTAGAAAAATGATGAAACATTCCATTCCCATGGCTCTCTCAAACTGTCTCCCTTCATGTACATGTATCCCATATTTAACCAATTACTATTCTAGCAAACCCACTGGAAGCCTGTCCTTGACCCTGGGCTTTGGCCATCCAACCCTAGCAAAATGTCAGGTCTAATACAAGAGGTTGTATATTCCTGACACAGCTGTGGGACACTCCAAGTATCTGAACAATCAGAGTGACATTTACTGGAGGATGACACCCAATTTTGAACACTCTATGGTACATTAATGTTTTCGTAAGCTTGGCTTCAAGGATGGGAAGGATCAGATTATGCTTCCCTCTGTGTCTCCAGCTCATTTACAGATGAGCCATTAAACATTTTCTATTTGCCCTCTTGGAGATCCTTCTAGTCTCTAACTCCAGATCTGTTGGCTCTGATTCACTTATTCTCTCCATGACTATTTCCCTTTTGTTATTTATCCAATCTTATTTTCTATATGCTTTGGATGTTTTAAAACTTCTCTTCACCCAGAATACAAAATTTTGTTTGCCTGTACTCAGTGCTTTGCAGCCATAGGCATGCCCTATTGTATTTGCTAGACTTAAAACATGTAATCAAAAATAAAATAAAATTAGGATTAAATAACGTAACTGTTCATCCATTTCAGCTAATAGAAGTCCAAAGATATCCTATCCAAGACTTAATGGCTTCCCTATGGTCAAGAAGAAACAAAGCATCTTCAATCTCTATGTTCTACTATTGGAACATATGGCTTCCATACTCAAGGTCATCTCACAGACAAAGATAGTTGCAAGAACAATAGATTTCATTTACACCTTCCAGGGAGCAGGAAGGAAAAGGAGAAGAAAGACAAAGAGGACACACTTCTCAGCTGAAGCAGCTTCTCAAGATGCTCCAAAAGTGTCACTCGAAGCTTAATGCTTAATGTCATTGTTCCAATTCAGGAATGTATATTCACCTAGCCATAAGGAAAGCTAGCTTGAATTTGGCCATCTGCCAAATACATATACACACACATACACAAATACATAGGGTTTTGTTTGCTGAAAAAAAGAAGAAATTAGGCTGGGCAACTAGCAACCTACCAGCAGTTTCTGCCATAGTGACTACTATGATGCCTTAGTCCCAGCATTAGAAGATCAGACATTAATCGGCAATTATAAAACATGCACTCTCAATTCACTGTTCATCTGGATTCATACAAAGTAGTGAGAATGTCAAGATTACCGAAGTCACAATTTTCTATTCATAAATAAAAGGCAAGAGATATGTTTCAATGGGTTGGAAAAAGCACACATTAAAATTTTTGAAATTTTAATGTAGAATTTCTAGGTGAAAGATCTATTGACAATGTCCAGGAAAGCTGCAGATGGTACTGGCTATAATCACTCCCTGTTTTATTCTCCATCTTCTCCATTATAGAAATCCTAGCCATGTCAGCGATACCTCAGATTTAACCCTTCCTTTCAACTTGGCAGCACAGGCCAGGGTTACTGATGTGTTTGCCTTTTCCAACACAGCTAGCATCCTTGTATTTTCCATACTGGGGATCTCTGCAATATCAGATGAGTTTTCCAGGCATGGTACCTCTTAAAAGTTTTAAGACATTTATAAATTAATTAAAAACACTCAAGAAACCCCACAGAACATAATCTTAGAATTCTCAAAATATTTTGTGACAACTAGAAAAGAAGAGCATGAGGTCTAGGAAATCTCTTCACCCAATTCGTGTGATCAGGTTTTCTAATTATCCAGAAGAACCAATACATATAGGCAAGCAACTTAAAAACATGTTACTCTGAAATGGTATGTGTATTTTTTAAAAGTTTTTTATTCATCATGTTTTACTCCAAAACCATAAATTAATTATATGCAAATTAAGAGGCAGACATAAAATCCACATTAAAATATTTCATTTATGTTATAAAAATAATTTAATCTATTTTCTGTGGCTATAGATTTGCCTACTCTGGACATTTCATATAAACAGAATCATATACTAGATGGTCTTTGGTGACTATATTTTTTACTTAGCATAATGTTTTCAAGAATTGTATGGTATTATCAAAGTGTTATTTTTAAAAATCAATGTTAAAAAGTAAAATAATAATATAAATTGATTTAAAAGAAATTCAAATTTAAGGTGACTAGAAGTAAACTTTGAATAAAACTTTAGGGGAGGCCAGGTGCCGGGGCTCATGCCTGTAATCCCGGCACTTTGGGAGGCCAAGGCAGGCAGAACACCTGAGGTCAGGAGTTCAAAACCAGCCTGTCCAACATGGCGAAATCTCCTGTCTCTACTAAAAATACACACATTAGCCAGGTGTGGTGGCACATGCCTATAATACCAGCTACTCAAGTGAGGCAGGAGAATCACTTGAACGCAGGAGGCAGAGGTTACAGTGAGCCGAGATTGTACTACTCCACTCCAGCCTGGGTGACAGAGAGAGACTTTAGAAGAAAACTAGCAAAAAATACAACAGAAATAATTATTAATTTCAGATAATATAAACTTAATGCAAAAAGTATCAAATGTAATAAGAAAGATTTTATTAAAGGTACAACTATCAGGTTGGTGCAAAAGTAATTGCAGTTTTGCTATTACTTTTAATGGCAAACACCATGATTACTTTTGTGCCAGCCCAATACAATAAATAAAAGACATAAATGGTTACAAGCACCAAAACTCAAAATAAAAACAACGGCGAGAGATGATTATACAACTCTCTCAACCTTTAACGGAACAAGTTAGAAAAAAGATGTATTAAAATGCAATGAATAAGACTGAATTTATAGACAAATGTCAAATTTTTGGTCCTTCTTAGAGGATATATTTGCTTTAAAAAGTGAAACAATTACAAAAATGATCATATTTTAAGTCAAAAAGACAAATTCAACAAATTCCGAAAAGCAGAAACTGAACTAGCTAAATTCTCTGGACATAAAACAATGAAGCTATAAATTAATAGTAAATGTTTAAACTAAAACCATTTAGGAAAAAAGTTTAACTTCTTCTGGATAAATATTGTAGTGAAAAGAAATCCAAACCACAATATCAGACTATTCAGAAAACAAAGACAATGAGAACACTGTTTTATCGAACCTAAGGTATGTGATAAAACTTATACTAAGCAGCAAATGTAATCTTAAATGTTTTGATTTGATTATTAAAAAGGAAGGACAAAAATAAATAAATTAAAGATACAAATAAAACCCTAAATAAATAAGAAAAGCAGAGAAAAATGAAATAATAAAATAAACATAGAAAATTAATAGAGAAATAAATTGGGAAACAGAAAACAGTGTTGATACACAAATATAAGATCTTGTATTTCAATATGTCTTAACAAAACAATTTATCCCTGGTAAACCCATTCAAGAAAGAAAACAAATAAAACAAGTTACGAGACTAGAGAGCTAACCAATACAGGAAAAAAAAAAAAAACTAAAAAACATAAGAGAATAGTATATAATACCATAAGATGTATGGAATATATGATGAATTAATAAAAAAGAATAAGAATTTCTCAAAAAATCAACAATGGTGTGAAATGCTAGAAGCAGTCCTATTATAATAATAAATACAATAAGAAAGTATGCTTTCTCTTTACTATCAAACATTGTTCTAAAATACTGGCCAGTAAAATAAAGCATTAAATAAAAATGAACTAAAATTATTAAAAAGCAAGAAACTAAATTATCATTACTTGCAACTGATATTATCATATAGCTAAGGGAAAAAGCAAGAGAATAAACATTTATAAATTTTATAAAATTAATGGAAGAGTTCAATAATGCCCAAATAAGTATTAATGATAAGATAAAATACATATGCATATATTAACAGTATTTCTACATAAATAGCTACAATGGATAATGAGAAAAAAGTTTCCACTCATAATAGCAAAAAAAATTTTTAATATCTGGAAATGACAATAATAGAGTCAGATGCTACAGATAACATTTACTGAACTTCAAAACAGACAGAGAAGTAATGGCCATAGAAACAGAATTTGGGAAGGTTTCTTTTTAGGAATTTTTTTTTTTTTTCCAAAAATCATGAGCAGGCATATACACCAATGAAGAGGATCTCCTTGAAAACAAAATGTTAAGTACTTGGGAAAGAAAGGCAAGTGCTCAAATTCATCTCATTAAACAAGTTAATTTATGAATGCACCAGCTCAGTTCCCCATCCACATTAGACATTTTACTAACAATTGTTCCTTCTTCCCACTGACATGATCTTGTGCTACGGTAAATTACGGTCATGGAATACCATTACTCTGTTTGTCTGATTGTGGGCAAATCAGAATAAAAGAAAGAAATTTATTTGACCTCATCTCCATCAATAGAGTAATCAGAATAATTGGAACAAGTATCCAGATAATCATGATAATTTGTGTTTTCAAATATAAAAGTAATCTAGTACACTGATTATGCAAATAATTACCTGAATTCTTCAATATATGCTGCTAGTGTAGATTTGGTAAAAAAATAAAATAAAATAAAATCTATGTTATCATTTTATTTGCATAATTATGTAGGGAGGAGAATGGATGGAAAATTTTGTTTTGATATCTTTCCCTTTTCCACTTCTCTGGCATTGTTTCCACACAGTATTTTCTCTTGAATATCAAAAATAGTCATGGTGGATTGTGATTTATCCAGTCAACCCCACCAGACAATGTCAGCTATGCAAACGTGAATCTGGATCATATCAAATCACTTCTGTCTTGGCCAGGTACATATTTGTGGAATAAAGATTTTGTGGAGATTACAAAAAAAAAAAATTATCAGCATTTAAGTGTTGAGGTTCCTAGCCAGTAGGCTATTAGTAGGATTTGTATAGATACACAGCAAGAGGTTGGAATACTTCTTTATGTTGTTACAGAAAAGTAAAATGAATTATTGTATTCCAGACAGGTTTTCCAGCTCCTTTTCTCTCTTTTGTTCTTCTGTTTACTCTTTTTAGTAGTAGCCTTTTTTATAATTTCTTGATGAGAAGGTCACAGTTCAAGGTATCATGTTACACAAAAAAAAAGTCTAAAGGTGGTATCTTTCTGTAATGTATTTAATTAACAAGTATGAACTTCACACTATTTCAGAAAATGATGCTAATTTAGGCTCAGCTCAAGTCCCACTTGGGAAAATATATGTTGATTCTTCCCATATATACCATGAAACTACTCAAACATAGAAGATATAACAGGTCAGGTCCCCAGGAAGAATACTCTGAGGAGGAGGTTTGTATGCAGGAAGTTTATTAAGGTGTGCTCTCAGGAGCAATACTTGTAGGGGGATGAAGAAAGAAGGACTGAGCATAGGAACAAAATGAATGAACACTGTATCAATATCAAGAAAGGCCTCAGCTAATCCCATAAAATGTTGCTTCAGTGTTGTCCTGTGTTGGAGAGAAACAGGGGCCTTTATACCCTTACATGAACCAGCCTTTGGATGTGAGCTGCCCTATCCACCAGGGAGGGGGGTGACCTTGGCTAAAGCAACTCACTTCCATGTCCGAGAGACTCAGCCAAGTGCTGTCAGCTGCCAACATTCCCAGCAATTGGGGAAATCAGTACTTTAGTCCTAAAGAGAAGGGAACTGGACAGTATACTGCAGCATCTACTAATCCATTACATAAAGGTGTTAGGAAACAAAGTTTGGTTTGTTTTTTTTTAATCCAAAGTTTCTAACCAAGAGGCATGTCATAGACCTTTCCGGGGTGAAAATCAAAGGAACTATATGCTATCTTGTCTCATCCACTAAAACAAACTGTGGCTTTTAGAAAGCACTTTTCCTCTCTGTCTTCACCTATAATATCAGTTTTGACAAGAGAATCACCTATGGTCTCTTCTACTTTGACAATCCTAATTTTGGTGGCTTCGTTTTTGACAAAATCAGGAGGAAAGGATTTCAAATGTAGTCATGACTCTTAAAAAGTTTCATTTCACTAAAATTTAAAAGTCTTAGAACCTTTTCCCAGTTAAATTAAACCCCAAAACTCCAAAGTTATTTTCAAGTCCCTTTGATAACATTAGTATGTGAAACTTTTAACAAAATCTAAGAGCAATGTTTAAGCCCCAGAAAAAGAAGAATAAAGATGATTGATCATAGGATCTACTGCTTAGACTAGAATCCCAGGATGTTGAATTCAAACTAGGAATTCAAAAGAACTTCTTTAATCCTAACTCCATCATCACCAGTTTTTCCAAAGAAACAAAATTGCTAGTGAACCCAAAATGAATTTCATTATCCCTGCAAAACCAAGTGTGCTACATTTCCTCTACTGAGAAGAAGCAGAATAGCCACACTGTCTCCTTTATTGTCTTCCTCTGTCCTTCTTTGAAAAGGTCAGTGGCATAACTGGGGTCTCCATTACTCAGAATAGCCAACTGACAGACATAAAAAGATCATCTGCCCTTCCAAACATATGATAGTCAGTCGTCTTTATTTGGGCACTTTAACATAATTGCCTGGGAGAGGTGCAAAAGAAAACTAAAATGACTACATTGGATTTACTGTCTCACTCTATTAAGACTTGTGTAGCATCTTTGTCCCTTATAGGAACAAAATGGAGAGAGCTAAAAATAGAGGACATTGATCTTTTCCTGGCACTAAGCTTCATGAAGAATAGCTTTTTGCAAAAGAGCAGCTTTATTTCATCTATTTAAGTATTCCACATCATGCGTGCGACACAGCATTTTCTTGAATATGTCCCATTTCTAGCTCTGCCTTTTATTTTGTCAACAGCAACTTTAATATTAATGATTCATGCCAAAAAGAGGAGACTGAAAATGCATAGTTAGAAATAAAATGACTTATCCTTTTGTCATAAGCAGGAAGCTAGCTTCAACTGATGTTAAACTGTCACTGAACATGAAAAGAAAAAACGTAAGCCATTGATTTTAACAGAACTTGTGCATTGTTTACATTTGTGAAAGCCCATTTTTAGTTATTTGCAACAATTTTCTATTATAACACACTGACATGTTTTCTGCTATTTTCGTCAGGCATATGTTTTCATTTTCTACTGGAGTGTTTCCATGTACTTGTATATAATTATACTTCAATTTCTACATAACTCTTCTAGAATATATAATGATAAGACTGTGCATTTTTATAGCGGAAGGGAATGCTAAGTTATTCAACAATAGCCATACTACTTGGTATATCCCAACAAGTGTCCAAAACCAAGAAGAGCCATATAAATGTCCTTGAAGATTGATAAACCAACAAAGCACATCAATAAATTATTTCTAATGTCTAATTTCCACCAAACTGTGCAGCTAGCTTGTTTTTCTTTTAAGAAATTTACCTGAGTCATGCCAAAAGCAAGGATACTTCAGGAGCCAGTTTCATGGACTGTAGATCCAAGGAGTCATTTGTGATATGCCACATACTCCCTGGCTCCCCTACTCAATATCCCCAAGTGCTACCTTGAGATATGCATACTGCCATCACATCCAAAGAAATGCTTTTGGAACAAAATGAGCAGTGAACACATAATACAGAAATGCAATATGTTGGTATAAAAATATGGGAGGAGGGGGACTGGCTGCTAATTGATTGGCAGGGAAGAAGTTAGGTTTTTGCATTTCAGTTGAGAAAGCTCTACTAAAGTATCTGGAACTGGAGACTCCTTGGTGAG